CATACTGATTTCCACAGTGGTTGCACCAGTCTACACTGCCATCAGCAGTGGACCAGTGTTCCTCTTTCCTGACAGCATTCCTCTTTCCTCTGTCAGCATTTGTTATTGGTTGATTTCATGATAGCAGCCATTCTTTCTGGGGTGAGGTTGAATCTCAGCATTGTTTTCATCTACATCTCTTCAATGGCCAGGGATGTTGAACATTTTTCATCTTTATTTGCTATTTTTACTTTATTGTCTGAGAAATGTCTGTTCATTTCAGATGTCCATTTTTGGATTGGGTCTTTAAATTTGGGAGGTCTGATCTTTATAAGTTCTTTATAGATTCTAGATAGTAGGCCTTTGTCTGAGGAACAGCAGGTGAAGATATTTTAACACATTGTGGGTTGTCTCTTCACACTGTTGGTGGTTTCTCTTGCTGTACAGAAGCTTTTTAGTAAAAAGAGATCCCACCTGTTGATTGTTTGTGCTAGTTCATGGGCAACTGAGGTTTTGTTCATAAAATCTTTTCCTATAACAATGTCTTCAAGAGCTCTCCCTAACCTCTGTTCCAGCCTGTTCAGCATTTCTGTTTTAATATTTAGATATTTACTCCATTTCAATTTTAGCTTAGTGCATGGTGAGAGATATAGGTCTAGTATCAATCTTTGGTAAGTTGAAACCCAATTTTTCCATCACCATTTATTAAAGAGGCTAACTTTCCTCCAGTGAGGGTGTTTGACTCCTTTGTCGAAGAAGAAGAAGAGGTGGCTGAGTGTAACTGGAGTTGTTTCTGCATCTTGTAATCTGTTCTACTGGTCCTCAGATCTGTTTCTTTGCCAGCATCATGCTTTTTTTTTAATCACAGTAGCTTTGTAGTATAGTTTCAAGTTTGGGGTTGTGATACCCCCTGCCATGTCTCTGTTACCTGGAATTCCTTTTGCTATTCTAGGTCTGTTCTTGTTCCAAATGAAATTTTGGATTGTTTTTGCAAGGTCTGTGAAGTATGCTGCTGGAATTTTAATTGGGAATGCATTGAATCTATATATCAGTTTTGGAAGTATGGCCATTTGTACTATGTTGATTCTTCCTACCCAGGATGTCTTTCCATTTTCTGATATAGTCTTCAATCTCTCTTTTCATAGTGCTATAGTTTTCAGAGAAGAGGTCTTTGATTTCTTTTATTAGGTTGATTCCTAGGTATTTCACTTTTGTGGATGCTATTGTGAAAGGAATTGTTTGCCCTATTTCTCTCTCAGTGTGTCTGTTGTTCGTGTAGAGGAAAGCTATTAATTTTTGTGTATTGCCTTATATCAAGCTACCTTACTGAATTTGGTTATTAAGTCTAGAAGAGTTGGTGGAATTCTTGGGGTCTCCTATATAGAGTATCATGTCATCTGCAAATAATGACAATTT